CCCGCCGGTTATAATAGAAAAGTGTCTATAATCTACCATCCAGAACCAAATGGATTTACAGTCAGTTAATTTGTGATTTTAATGCTGCTGTTAGGTGGGTGGCGGTGCTTTGATATGTACTACTAAAGTTTTTGTACGATTTTCCAATTTGGTCTGTCCCGATCTTTATTTATCCCCCTAAACTGTCTTCCCTTTGAAGGCAGCCTGATCCCTGTTTTTGTATGTGAAGGTTAACAGCTGCCTATAGCAACCAAGTTTGACCCCACCCCCATCATATGTTGCAGAACAGATGACATTTTCTGGCATCTTTAGCTATCCAGTTGAGGCACAAAAATTATATTAAAAATAAAACCACCAAAACACAAATTTTTAAAAATGTTTTTATTTAAGAGTCTTATTTAAGCATTTGTAACTTTTATGTTAGAAGTTTGTCTCCTGCGATGTAGCCACAGGCCTACAACAGTGACAGCCACCAAGCCAATAACTCCAGCAGTCGCTAGTGCTCTAGCCAGGTCCAGAGTGGAGTACTGCGAGGGATCAGCACCTAAGAAGGAGAAATGTTACAAGTCTGGAATCACAACTGGAGACCAAACAAATCCAACATCATGAAGACATTACCTTCCAGTTTTAGCATTTCTTCATCATCCACAGAAACAAAGGCAACAGGTCCTTCAGATGTCACCGTGTTCTTCAGAGACAACAGCTCCTGCTCTTCAGCCATTCTCCCTAAAATTAAGAATGTTTTTAGATATTAATTTCCCCAAATCAAGCCAACAATGGTCCCTTATGTAAGGGAAAGGTGTGAAAACCCAAAAGTCTTACCACCAGTCATAGTCTGAGACCTCATAATACTCACTTCTCCTTCCACCACACAAGAGCCCACACAGCTGCATGTTAGATGGCACACAGACGGAAGCACTGCAGTGAAAGTAGACCTGCAGACAAGTGTATACAGTTACAATACAGCATACTACCGGCATAAAAAGCATGAGAGGTTGTATTAGGTTTACCAGGCCTCCAAGGGCAAGCTGGGAGTTGGGGTCTACAAATGTGAAGGTGTTGACAAGGAAGCGCTTGTAGTAGTTTGGTAGAGGTATAGCCGGTGAAGGAGCTCCAACAGGAATCAGGCTGCTCACATAATTGTCTCCAGAAAAAGGGCAACTGAAACCAACAAGAGACATTTTAGGAGTTGTGATCTACACCAAAGGTGTACTAGATTCCTAGCTACAGATCAGTCACCTGTCATACAAGATGGGCCACTGAGGAAGGAGTGTAGGATCAGCAGAGTTGGTGGCCCAGCAGTCATTTAAGACTAGGATCAGGTTTGGGTCTGTTCTACGGATGATGCGGACCTCCAGGTAGACCGGTTCCCTGAGCACTCTGACCAGAGGATACTCTTCTTCAGCATAGTAAGCTCCATAGCCAAGATCTGCATTACATATAACATATGCAACAGGATTACTCCAAGTTATCATAGGGGGAAGTCCTTATCCTCACCATAGTTCACATGACCAGCTACAACATGCCAATTGTGCAATGCCAAGGCTAGCAGGTTACAGGCAACAAGTTTATACCAGAGTTGAGGCATGAGGGGTGGCATGAGATAAGTTGGCCTAGTATAAACCTGCCCTGCACACAGACATACTGAGAATTACAGCACAAACGTATATCTGCATGTGAATATATGGTCAGGAGATTCTGAATGCAGCGATTCCCCAACACACATCATGAATGTATATTTGACCCAAGATGCAGATTTCCTGCAGCAAGATGGAAATGCAAAGCAGGCGA